AATCCCTATCTGTGTACCTATTCCCCAGGGGAGAATCACAAAACAGAAAGAAAAAATAAAACTCCTATTGTAGAGTTTATTTATAAAAATCAGTTTATTGTATGTGTGCGCATGTGCATTTGTGTGCAGCATGCCTGTGTGTATTTAAGGGTGAGTGAGGGCAGTCATATTATATTAGAGAAAATGTCACCCTATTGTGTAGTATATTGATTTATTCCAATCCAGTGGGAACTTTCAGTAGATACCTCCTTATGACATTCATAAACAGTACTTAAGAATCTATCTCTGGTAACTTCAGAAATTCTTGGGGAAAAGAACATTGTTCTGGTCAACCACACAATCCCATTGACTTTTGTTAAAATGTACACAAAATCATGGATGTGTCTCTAAGTTTTATGAAATAACTAAATTATCAATTCATAAAAGACATCCAACGTAGCTTAATATTTTGCTACAAAGACATTTTTCAAAATGAATTATTTTCATTTTTATATATAAAATATATCCCACCTATGAAAGGGTTAAAAATTTCCAGATATCCACAAGTCTCTATAGTAATACACTGTTTTACTAATCACTATATTAAAAATTAAAATTTCTAATGTAGCTCAGGAAGCAAAGCTATGTAAGAATAGTTAAAGAAAAACATGAAATGACCCTATCTAATAACATCAAATTATGTTATTCTGTATTTAAATTATTATTTTATAACATTTTAAGGATATTTTTATTCTTAAATTATTCAATAATATTATGAGCAAAGAGGGTTTCAAAAGAGAAATTGTGAATGAGGAAAAGTTAACAAATCCATAGGTTTGCTCACTAAACCTCTGAATGAAAATAAAATATTTCTGAGGGTAAAGTTACTAAATAAAATAAATGTCATTCCAACTCAAGGAATAGACACCATCAGAAAAGTAAATCCATTAGGAATTGGCTTTGATGGCCTTTCCACTCTCAGATTAATTCATCACTTTCCTGAGACACATCAATTACCACTCTGTCACATTAACTTTCTGAAAATGACCCAGAGTGTGACCTGAAGGAAGGGATTCAGTCGCCAGAATGATTTAAGAAAACGAGCCTCCAAAGCTTCATGAGAGGCATGTTGACTGGTTTATGGGGCTTTACCCTGTAGAATACTGACCACTTTTTCCAGTAACTTTTCACTTTAAGAAGTATTATTTGGCATGGAGAATACATATATTGCATATCAACAGAATTGAGGCTTTCCAAGTAAAAAATCAGTCTCACTTCAATAAAGTAAATAAAATAAATCAGCATTTACAGGATAGGAATCATATTTAGGAAAATGGTTGGGAATTACAATTCTATTTTTCTCTATTACAGCAAAATCAGGACATAATTTGATAAATGTTAGCTTACACACACCACTTTTCCCTTCTCTGTCCCTCATTTGTCTTCTCCTTTCCTCTTCTCTCTGTCCTCCTAAAAGTCCCTGGAAGGGAACAAAGGGAGGAGGGGAGGTGGAAGTAAAAGCTCAGAAGAGATTAGAATTCTTGAAGTCCTTAAAGCTTCCTTTTCCTTTCACCAAGCCCTGGTGAAGATGTGCTTTTCTTAATCATGTGATTTACCAGTCGTCTTGATCATTCCTTCTGTCTGCGTCTCTCCTAGGCACAGTCCCACCTCTCAAATGTTCGTACTGATCAGTAAGTTTCCAGTCTATTCATTAAAAGTTCAGGTGCACTGCTCGTTTTTTATTTTTTTTATTTTTTTTATTTTTTATAAACATATATTTTTATCCCCAGGGGTACAGGTCTGTGAATCGCCAGGTTTACACACTTCACAGCACTCACCATAGCACATACCCTCCCCAATGTCCATAATCCCACCCCCCCAACCCCCCTCCCTCCATTAACCCTCAGTTTGTTTTGTGAGATTAAGAGTCACTTATGGTTTGTCTCCCTCCCTG